GACCTCTGCATCCCAAGAAGGGCATCCAGCCTCTGCTGCTCACTTTCATGGAGGAGGCCAAACAGGAAGCAGCCCAGGAACACCCAGCTTGCTCTGTCTTTCCTGAAGTACGTGGGCAGCAGTGCCTCTATGGGCCTCACGGCCCGGCTGGGGTGGTCGCGGGGGCTGTCCAGCAGGTAGTACATGGCGGCACAGAACTCCTGCATGCACATGTGGATGAAGGAGTAGGAGCTCCCAGACTCGCTGTACTTCCGGAGGAGCCTGAGGTCCAGCAAGGTGGGGGTGTCAGTGTCCGCTATCCCGTTCCTCCTGAGCTCCTCTTCGCCAAACACCCACGTGTCGGTCCACATGCCCTCCGCGGCCAGGGAACACAGCGCCTTCAGCAGGCCTTGGCCCTGCTGGCTGGGACGAGGAGCGCCCTTGGGTGTGAACGCTTGAAACATGAAAGAGAGGAACACAGAGGTGGACCTGCAGCAGGTGGCTGCCAGGTCCCTCCCGCGCTCCATCTCCTGTTTCAGAGAGGTGCACACCATCCAGCAGAGGAGGGGGACGTGGCACATGGTGAAGAGATGCTCATTGTTTCGCACCAAGCTGAAGGCTGCCAGGGCTCGGCCCCTGTCTTCAAACGAGCAGCAGAAGTACTGCTTCACGTGGCTGTCCTGGAAGCATTTGAGATCTTGCATGTTGGGGTGGTCCAGCTTGCTCTCCAGAGCTTCTGGGCGCATGGGCATGGCAGCGAGGAGCAGAGCGGACTCTGGGAGGATCCTCCTCCTCAGCAGGCTGCTCAGGACCGTCTTCACTGAACGCTCCTCCCTCCAGTCATGGCACAGCTCCGACTCGGGCTCTGTCAGGGTGCACTGCAGCTCCTCTAAGCTGTCGATGATGAACAGGATCCTCTCTGGTTGGGCCACGATGTCCGCCAAGGGGACAGAGTCATCGGGCCTTTCTCTGGACATGAGCCCGGCCAGGCTGGTCACCCTCAGCTGCTTCAATTCTCGGCAGCATAAGTAGAAAATGAAAGAGAATTTGTCCCGATAGAGGGTACCGTCTGACCAGGCCAGCATCACCTTCATCAGGAACCTCGTTTTCCCCATTCTTTGTAATGCGCGGAGGACGACCGTGCGAGGCCTCCTGGGTACCCTTGGAGTGAAATACTCTTCCAGACTTTCATGCTCTTCACAGGTCAATGACTGGTCAAAGCAGCCAGGGATCTCAGTGAAGGCGCCCCTGGACCACATGCTGATGAGCTTCTTCTGTATGTGAGCTCGATAGGCATTTGCTAGTCAGCAGGGGCAAGAGAAGAACACAGCACGTCAGAGTTCAACCCCCGCACAACCTGAAGGCTTCAACCTGAATCTCTCCTATGGGAAACAATGTCCTCAGGGCCTGCAGGCTGTGGCCATAGCCTAAAGCACCAACCAGACAGCCCCCAGGGTCAAAGGCCTGCCAGGCCAGCTCCACACACACACACACACACACACACACACACACACACACACACCTGTTCATCTCTGCCAGGAGAGCACAGAACTGCAAAGGCCTGCTGGCTTCCAACTGAAGACAGTGGAATGCACGTCAAACCAGGAGGGGCCTCCCCATGAGGAAGCAGGAGCTCTGTGTGGGGACAGGACCCTGCCTCTGGGCTGTGGTGCTGCCCAACAAGGGTTAGCACGGGAGGAAGTCTTGGCCTGGCCGCTGTGTCTAAGAGACTGGCACAGCCTGCGTCTCCCTGGAGGGAGCCTGTGCTCTAGATGTGACAGGGCCCTAGGATTCACCCCAACTCCATCCTGGTGAGCCTTCTCGTCCTTGGCAGAGCAGAAGGTAGAAGTATCCAATCAAAAGCCAAACAACTAAAGGGCTCAGCCTTCTAGAATCCCTTCAGGCTGAGCTAAGGCTGGGTCCTGCTCTGCACTTCCCACAGGCTCTGGTGACACGGGAAGGTTGGGGTGCTGAGTGACATCAGAGGGGACCCTGCCACTAGGTGGTAGACAGGTGAGGTTCAAAGGGCACAGAGGGCCGCAGGAACGCGGGAAGTGCACAAATGAATGCCAAGGAATTTAGCAGGGATGGCTGGGCCAGCTCTCAGGTTAGGAAGAGAGAGCTCCAAAGGACTCCACAGAGGAAGGCAGCCAAGACCAAGGTCACTCCCTGAAGGACCAATGTCAGGGAAGGATCAAGGTCGCTCCCTGAAGGACCAAGGTCGCTCCCTGAAGGACCAAGGTCAGGGAAGGACCAAGGTCTCTCCCTGAAGGACCATGGTCGCTCCCTGAAGAACCAAGGTCAGGGAAGGACCAAGGTCTCTCCCTGAAGGACCAAGGTCGCAGAAGGACAGAGCCTTATCCTGAGGGTACAATGCGGGTCCTGGGGGAGGCAGGGAGACCACCAGTGGCGGAAAGCACTATTAAACAGGCAGAGCCCCAAAGCTGGAGCTGAGGAAGGCGGCTGGCCAAGAGGCCAGGACCTCGGGGACACCCGTGCAGGACCAGTGTGAAGAGCCCCATCCGGGCACCTTGCAGCGACTCTAGAAAGACCCCACCGGCCCCAGTACCACCTCCTGCCTAGGACACCGGGCAGCGCAAACAGGCAGAGACTCCAGACGGATCAGGCGCAGGACCGCGCGCAGCACCACCGTGAGCCTCGGGGGCCGCGCAGCCCAGGGGCCACAGCTCCCTGCCTGCTGAAATGATGCACCCCCAGGGCATCCACTGAAGTCCGCTGGGCACCCGCATCTCAGGGCCCTTCCAACGCGCCCCACCACAGCCGACCGGTAACCTCGGATCCAGGTGCCAGCTACAGCAGCTGTCAACTGCTGC